CGCCCCCATCGGCAGACAGCGCTCCAGTTGCTGGCCGAACTTCTGAAGAGCCCACGAGGCGCCCCTTTTCTCACCGAAGATCGGAGAGCCTCCCAACCAACAAGGTACAGGCACACCGCCATCTATTCTTAGAAAAGATAGCGACGGAAAACATCCAAGCCATAGTAGAAAAGTGGCTGCAGGCCAACCCTGTCGTGCCCACACAGGCCCCCATGCCGGCCTCTCAGTGCGCCAGCGGGGCCGCACCTGCCATCATAGCCACCAGAACTGCAGAGGAGCCACCACAAAGCCCCATGCAGAGCGAAGCTCCTGGGCAGACACAGGGGCCTGCTGGCGTTCCCCTACCTCTCAGCTCCGATGAGGACGACGAGTCAATGGACTTCTTAAACTCGCGGAAGAGGCTGCGGGAAGAGAGTGGGGACGAGGACGACCACGCACCTCGAAAGCAAACGGCCACTACCCCCTCCGACGAGGAATCACACGCTTCTCAGGGCTCAGAGGAGATGTCCGGGAGCGAGTGCAGAACCATGGTGGATTACGAAGGGGCGTCCACCACAGCGGACTTGACATCATCTGCCACAACAGGCTGCCCGGACCCAGCGAGCTCGGATGGTGCAGGCACTTGCCAACACCCCACTACCGCCTCAACGGACGACCTACCACCTCAACGACGACTCTCCCCCCACACAGAAGGACGGCCCTTGCCAGCAGCCTCTCCCCAAGGAGTAGACAGCACTTTACCTGCCCCTGCAACAGAAGGGACCACCGAATCTCCCGACAACCCACCCTCCGACGCTTCAGCTGCCATGGAGGTGGTTGAAGAGGTTCTCACTCGTACCGCTGCTGGGGGCAACACCCGAAAGGAAGCCCCTTATACGGCGAAAGACTTTCTCGTCACATCGTCAGCGGGGGCCACACATACCAACCGCAGAAAGAAGGGGAAAAAGAAGCCAACCAAGAAGCCACCCCCGGTTACTGCATCGGAGGGCACAGCTGCCAACCTTCCCCAACCTTTCAGCAAGGCCCCCACTGCAGTGGACACCACAAGGAAGCACAGCAGTGCAGCGGGGAGTCCCCCAGACACAGAGGGCTTCCAGGTGGTCACTACCAGAAGTGCCCGACGCCGTGCCAGGGACCTTGCTGCTGCTGCGGCCCTCCCGGTCGACCCTGCCATTGTGGGCACAGTTCTCTTCCGGACGTCAGCCCCTGGAGGGACCTTCAGTGAATCCCCACGCCTGATCCTCGCACAGGCGCTCTCTGCAAGGCCCGGCGTGGCCGCAATTCGCGTAAACCAAAAACGCAACATTGTGGCTGCTGACGCTACCACGCGAGAGTGCCTGGAGCAGCTCCTGACCATCAGGGAGCTAAAGGGGATCCCCGTCACTGCCAAGGAACCCGCTGACCACAAGACCAGCACGGGGTTCCTACATGGTGTCGACGGGGAGCCTGCGGTGGACAGCCTGCTGCCTGGGATCCAGTCGGCCGTCCGGTGCTCTCTGCTGCCAGGGAGGGGCGAACCGTGACGCTCCGCTTCGCCGGCCCTGTGCCGCCGGAGCACGTGTCACTCTTCTTGGTCCGTTTCCCAGTGCGGCCAGCCAGACCCCGCCCTCTGCAGTGCCGGCAATGCGGTCGGTTCGGCCATGTGAAGGAGAGCTGCAACTGGCCAGGCAGCTGCATCAGATGTGGCTGGACCCACCCTGGAGAGAGCTGCAAACAGACCCGGTGTGTCAACTGCGGGGGCCCTCACTATGCAGACACCCCGGAGTGTCTCCCGTGGCAGGAGCAGCGGAAGGTTGCCACAATCATGGCATCTTCTCCAACCATCCTCTCGAGGCGCGCAGTGGCAGCGGCGGTGCGAGAGGAGATTCAGGAGGCGCGGACCTTTGCAAGCGTAGTGAAGGGCCACCCTGCGCCGCCCCCCCCTCCGGCAAGACCCATCCTGGCGCCTCGAAAATCTCGCCACCAGCCACTCCAGGGACTGCAGTCCACCAGCGCTGCTGCCCCTATGGCCCTGCCAGTGGCCACTGCTGTTCCTGAGGCCCCGCCTGCTGCAGCTGCCACTCTCGCGGCCCAGCCTGCAGCTATTGCCCCCGGAGGCCGGCCTGTTGTGCCCATGGCTCCTGCGGCCCCGCCTGCTGCGACCGTAGCGTCGCCTCCAGCTGACCCGGCCTACCATATTGTCGCCACCCTGCTGAACACCCTGCGGACTGTGGGAGAATCTCTTCCTTTGGACCACCCCCTTCGAGCCATCTGTTTACAGACGGGAGCGTCACCGCTCCCCACAACCAATCATGGCTTGCTCCCCGCCCGGAACGAGCCGAGGCCGCCGCCCAAGCGTTCTGCAGTGGAACGTCAACTGGCTGGGGCGGCGAAGAGACGACCTGGCAGAGCACCTTCTGCGGAGCGATTACGACGTGCTTGCACTGCAGGAGCTGTATGCCCGGGCGGAGGACCTTCGCCTGCCAGGGTACGTTGGATACAGCAGCAGAACTGGCTGCACCCTGGCGACCTGCCTTGATGCTCCCTGCCTGAACGACAGCCACCAGCAAGGACGTTCCCGGTGTGCTGTCTACGCCAGGCGGGAGCTCCCGCAGGCAGAGGTGAAGGTAGCTGACCTGGTTGGGGGCTTCTTTGAATGCTGCGCCGTCCGCATCCGCATCGGGGGACAGGACACCACTGTGGCCAGCATCTACGTTCGGCCGGGCCAGCCCTGGGACCCCAGATGCCTCCGTCAGCTGGCGCACCGCCTGGGCAGGGAGTTCCTGCTTTGCGGGGACGTCAATGCGAAACACCCAGCGTGGGGCGGCTGCAGGACTGACGCTCGAGGCAGAGGGGTGCGTGATGTACTCCGGCAGCTGGGGCTGGCGATCCTCAACTCGGGTGCCAACACCTTCCTTCGTCGTGGGCAGCAGGCCACCAGCACTGCCATAGACCTCAGCGTGGCCACGGAGGGTTGCCAGTATGCCTGGTTGCCATTCCCGGACACCTGGGGCTCGGACCACCTGCCCATCCTGCTGTCTCCCTTCAGAGGTAGGGCTCCACGGGACCACGAGTACCGCGCGGTGGATTGGCAGGCCTACCGGCGACTACTCAAGCAGGACACAAGCAGCGGGGACCTGCTGCAACTGGTGGCCCACAGTGCGAGGGCAGCAACAATCACTGCCAAGGTACAGCAGGGACAGCCCGTCCCAGACTTCCGGCACCTGGCTCTGAGGGCGGAACGGCGACGTGCAGAGCGGCAAGCCCTGAACAAGGGCCAACCGGAGCTCTGGACGGTCTTCCGGCGAATTGATGCCGTCTGCAGACGCCACGCACGCAGGCGCCGGAACCAGGGCTGGCAGGGCGTGTGCGTCTCGATCAACAGCTCACGTGATGGGACCAAGGCCTGGCGCCTGCTGAAGTGCCTGCTGATGGCGCCCCGGGCCTTGAACTAGGGACTGTCCCTGGCTGTTCACCTGTCGCTCACGGCTGCGAACCTGGCAGAGCGGCTGGCTGACCAGTTCGCTGCCAGAGACAGATCCCCACTGCCTGCTGCACCACCGCCTGCTGCCCTCCCTTGCCCTACCTCCTGCCATCATCCCAGATGGGTGTCCGCGCAGGTGCGGGAGCTGTGCGAAGAGCCCATAGCGATACACGAGCTGGTGGCAGCCTTCGAGAGGACCAAGCGACGAAGTGCTCCAGGGGCCGACGGCATCACCTTTCAAATGCTCCGCAACCTGGATGGAGGTGGCCGTCAATGACTCCTGGAGTACTACAACGACGTCTGGTGCACCGGAGTCTTACCCGAGTCCTGGCGAACAGCGGTGGTGGCGCCAATCCTCAAAACCCGGAGGAAGGCCACGGCTCTCTCCTCATACCGGCCAGTCTCTCTCACCTCCGCGCCCTGCAAGGTGATGGAGAGGGTGGCTCGGGAGAGACTGGAGTGGACTGCCGACCACCTGGGCTTCTTCCCGGAGCAGCAGACGGGCTTCAGGCGACACCGGTGCACGGCAGATTCTATCTCAGATGTCGTCGCTACCCTCGAGGACGCCAGGAGCAGCGGGGACGTGGCCATGCTGCTGCTGCTGGACGTGGAGAGTGCCTTCGACGGACTCCCACACGAGGCTGTCGAGGTGGCCCTGGACCGCCTCGGCATCAGCGGTAGCCTCAGAGGCTTCGTGACCGCCTTCCTGTCCGAAAAGACCTTCCGTGTCCGTGTTGGAGGGGCTACCAGCCAACCCAGGGTCATCACTGCTGGTGTCCCACAGGGTTCAGTACTGAGCCCCTTCCTCTTCAACATGGCATTAGCAGGACTTCCGGCATCCCTCCCAACCGACACCAGGTTCCCGGCCCGCTGCTCTGTCTACGCAGATGACGTGGCACTCTGGGTCCGGGGACCAAGGCGGTCCATCCCGGCCATCAGGAGATCACTGCAGGCGGTCCTCGATGCAGTGATAACCTACCTCGGAGGCATCGGGCTTAAGGTCTCTGCCACCAAGACTGAGGCCCTGCTAATTCACCCGCTGGCGGCAGCTCGCACCCACGTGAGACGGCTGAGGATTGGCAATCGCAGCCTGCCTTGGAGGTTGATGGTGAAGTACCTGGGGCTCACCATCGACCACCGACTCACCTGGATCCCGGCTGCCAAGGCTGCTGCCACCAAGGTGCGGCGCGTCCAGGGCGCCATCAGCAGGCTGCAGCTGCGTGGCCGCGGCTGCTCCACCAAGTGGGCCCACAAGCTCAACCAGGCTGCGGCGTCCTCGGTCCTCCTGTACGCCTTCCCGCTGGTGAGCCTGACACCGGCTAGGAGACGCCTGCTGGAGGGACTCCACAGGGGTGCACTGAGGGCCATCCTGGGGCTTCCCAAAAGCTCGCCGGTGGCAGCGACTCTCGCGGAGGCAGGAGAGTGGCCCCTGACGTTACGTATGCTCCAATGTGCGCTGGGCCACACTGACCGCCTTCACCGCGCCACCGACGGCAGGGCCCTCCTGGAGCGTCTCTGCAGCCAGCCAGGATAACGGATGGGAGGCCTCTGCCTGCTCTACCACCAGATGGTTCCAGATCCGCCAGTCCCGGTTGCCTCACCACCGCCTCACTACCAGCCACCAGAGGTCCACCTCTGCTTGGAAGGGGCAACCAAGCGATGAACGCCTGCGGCCGCACTGCAACAGGCGGCCTCCTGCAAGCTCCAAGAACGACTGGAGGGATGGCTGCAGGTGTTCACGGACGGATCTGCAATGCCAGACGGGACTGCAGCGGCCGCATGCGTAATCCCGTCCACAGCCAAATACAAGCAGTGCAGGCTACCCTTCCCGGCGAGCTCCACGGCTGTGGAACTGGCTGGACTGCATCTCGCGGTCAACCTGTTGGCTGAGGACATCCCCCTTGAGCCGGCCGCGGTCCTGTGTGACAGCAAGGCGGCCCTGCAGACCCTAGCCAACTCCCGCCGTGCTGGACTGACGGCCTGCCTCCTGAGAGCCAAGGTTCGCGCCCTCACCGACGCCGGGGTGTCCGTCTCCTTCCACTGGCTGCCCTCCCACGTGGGCATCGCTGGAAACGAGAAGGCGGACACCCTCGCCAAGGCTGCCCACCAGCCTGGTACTCCCTACTCCTGTGCCGTGGCGGCCAGGGACTATTCACAGGCCCGTCTCAAGAGGCTCTTCATCACAGTCCACCCAGACCCGAGGGTGGCCAGCGGGCGAGGACCAAAGCCTCTCCCAGAGACGGGCCTCACCAGGAGAGAACGGGCCTCCCTGTTGCGACTGCGGACTGGCTGTGTGTGGACGGCGGCCCGCCGCCACGCCAAGGGCCTCTGTCTCTCCCCTGCCTGCAGCCGTTGCGGAGACCCAGAGACCCTCGAACACCTCCTCTGTGCCTGCCCTGGCTTAGCACAGGAACGCTTGAGGGTCTACACGGCCTACAGGAGACAGGGACTACCCGTCTCCACCCTGGAAAACCTGCTGTTCCCGTCTCGTCCACATCTAGCAGCACTCCGCAGCCTGGCGGAGTTCGTGGAGGAGTCAGGAATTGCTGCCTACCGCTGATCTCAGGAGCCCTGCTGCCCTTGCCCTTGCCGACGGCCTGCTGCTCGCGCTGAAGCGGACCGGACATCCCTCCTTACACACCACACACTATTTCTCCTATCCCCTTTCATCCCCCTCTACCCCACCCCAAAGGCACTGCGCCGTGTCGCCTGTAGGCAGACAGAAATTAGGTGCCTTCTTCCTTTTCCTCATGAACCACTAACAACAACAAATGTTTTCAACAGTAGCTCGCCCTCGCTGGCAGTACTGCCGGGTTTCAGTAGCGTTTTGTCTTCGCTACATTTAAGACTACCTTTTTCGTCCTCTCTTTCAACGTTCGAATAATAATTCCCCTGCTGAGGCTCGAGCATGGTCTCCAGCTCACCAATCTGTTCAATGACCTTATCAGAGCGACTGGAATCAGCCTCGGTCTCACATGGAACACCTTTTGGACTTGCTACAGTTTGCATAACAGCCACCGTTACGCTCTCTACATGCACTACCTTTGCACCATCAGAGAGTTGCGTACCTTCCCTAGGCGCAATTTCACTAACAATGTTTCTCTTTTCTCTCCGCCGAAGGATCACTTTTCATGTCGCACTCATAGAGACGCGTACCTTTCTCGGGCGGTACCTCGCAAACAGCGGCTTCCTCGGTAACTTCACACTGCACCGTACTCGCCACTTGACCGCACCTTTTGGGCTTTACACATACTTCATATATACACGACGGACGACGATCCTGATGCAGTTCCAGAATGCGATTATTCAACCTTTCTATGCTCTCAGACAAGGCCTGCATCGTAGCCTCATGTATACGTATCCTTTCGGCTTCTTTTGCCTCTTCTCTCTGGGCTTCTGCCTGTTTTCTCTGTTGAATGCTCTCGACATACTCTGAGAGAGAGGTCCTCATCACTTGTCCCTGTCCCGACGATCCGCTTGATCAGTTCTGTTCTGTTTGGGAAGTCCGACACATCCAGTTTCAACTCCTCTGCGATCGCTAGCAATACGGATTTTCGCAGGGCTTTCAGATTCATGGCTGCTTCCGGTACCGTTCTCTGTTCCACGAATGATTCCTGTCTTGTAACTAATTAGCCCTGACCACAACAACAGCCTTACTTTTCTGCCTTGCCTCAAGTTACCTGCTAACTTAGTCTGCAAAAGCTTCCTTAAGCTCTTACACGGAATCCTGTTCTGTCACTGTTAACCTTGCCGTCACCCCCAGACTAATAGCTTAAACAAGCTATCTCACAATTATCTGCCCGACGCAAGTTATCTGTTAACCACATGACTAAAACAGCTCTGTCACTGTTAACCTTGCCGTCACCCACAGACTATAGCTTAATCAAGCTATCTCACAATCTGCCTGACGCCAGTTACAGAATGACCAAAAAAGCTATTCTCCCTACCCGCGTTTACTCGCACATTAGTAAATGCCTGGTAAAGTTTAAGAGAAAAAGTCGGCATTCACCCGGCTCGCAGTCGTACCTCCAGCATCGTGCATCTCAGCAATGCCTTCCGGTTGCCACTCGCAGTCGATGACCTCGTGTCATCCCATAAGTGCTGTTCGGCTGCCTCTCAAGTCGATGAGCTCGGATCATCCGACCGTTGTCGTCGTATCGCCTCTCGATGTCGATGGGGTCGTAGCATCTGACTGCTGTCGTCGAGTCGTTGCTCCCTGGGTTGACACCATCTATCCGCTGAATCCAGTGGTTGCGACCAGGGTTGACGCAATCCCATTGCTGCCATCCAGTTGTTGCGACTCCGGGTCCCGCGGGTCTCAGTTTGGTAGCGGGCCCCCGTCCTAGGACCCATCGTGGAACAAGTCAGATGAGACGCTCGTAGAAACGACAACAATTTATTTACATGATTAGTAGCAGAGAGATAGAAAAGAGGTGATCAAGTGATCATAACTGTACATGGGAACTGTTGAACTGTAGAACTTGTAATATATGAAAGTTTTCGGCTTATATATAGCACCTCGTTTCCAACCCCGGGGCGCATTGTCCGCGGCTTCCGCCAATAGGGCGCTCCATGGCCTATGTGCTCGACCAACGAAGGAGGGGAAAGACACCACACAATGAATGTGGAGAGGGCATAGTCTACACGATGCCCAAATATGGTCAAAAATGCATTGCACCAACGTTTTTGCACACGTCACCAAGTTTCGTGCACGTCCGATGACCTTGGTTTTCAAGATTCTTCTGGCAGCTGGGTGAGGTTCGAAAAACCGGCCGCCAGTACACGTGTCAAACTTGCCTGACTGTTTGGGTAGGACAATGTAGTGGTGGGCCAGCATTTCGTCAAAATATGCCACCCCATTCAGCCGACCCTATGGAGAAAGGGGGGAAGGAGGAGTAGTCAACTAATCCCTCGTCGCCGAGGGGGGCTCTTCTAGCAAGGGCTGCAGCACATAGTGCATTATCCTTTTCTTCACCCCCACATTCCATTCCTGGTTGTTTGCTAGAAGCTGTGGCTTAGCTGCACATATCCTGGGGTTCTGCTTGTCCTCGCAAGATGCAGCCACTACCAATTTGGCTTTAGCTTGCAGTCTGAACTGCAAATACCATGCTGGTTCCGAGATTTCCAGATCCGTAGTGACCTCGAAAATGGCCCGGCTGCCTCCTTGTCTGCCTCGAAACTCTTGCTCCCAGCAAACACAATGGCCTTTCTTGAGTCGAGCTCACAATGGCATCTCTTGGCTCGTGCGTTTTTCTTTGCGCGAACCAGTCCCAAACCCCTCGTTCAGGTTTTGCCGAGAGGAAATCAACCCATCTTGATGGCACACTCTTGCTTGGAATGCGTTGAAATATTTTCGTCCTGTTCACAATGGCCGAAAAACTTCAATAATTATGACGGTCGTAACAAGGCTTAGTTAGGAATAGAACTAGTTGGTTTTCACTCAACTTGAATTGTCCTTTACAATTTAAAATATATCTCGGACAGCAAAGAAGCAGACATGTGCAGCGCTGCTGATTTTTCTCTTTTATCTTCCTCTCAGCAAGTATGAGCTTATATATAGGGAGCTTGCACGAACGGCGGCGACGCTATGCACTATGGGGAGGCAGCCATTTTTTTGTCAGAGGCGGCCGGAGAGTGCAGCAGCGCAGTCACGTTTGCGAGCGTAGGCGTACCTTGCAAGCGTGGTCTAATGCGAGTGCAATGCAAATTAAACTCCAAGGAGTGTCGCGCACGATGTGAACATCACTGGTGGACTACACTGCAACGCTGTGCCGAAAAAAACCTCAAGCGATACGAAGATGAGACGAGAATTCGCTCCGAGTGGACCCATTCACGCTTCGTTCGGGCGAGGGCTGTTCCGCGCGCTTCCCGCACTGCCACAACGTACGTGCCGGGACCCCTACCGCACGCAAGCGGGGGACCAATAAGCCAATTGACGCTGCGGTAGGTCAAAGAGCGTCGCCAAATGGCTCATTTGGCACGTGCATTGCGGCTGTGCGGGAAGCGCATGGAACGGCCCTTAAAGGCCTTTACACGCGCTGCCCGCACAACCGCAACGCACGTGCCGGGACTCCTGCCACACACAAATGGAGGACAAATAAGCCGATTGGTGACGCTCTTTCACCTACCGCAGCGTCAATTGGCTTATTGGTCCCCCGCTTGCGTGCGGTAGGGGTCCCGGCACGTACATTGCGGCAGTGCGGGAAGCGCGTGGAATGGCCCTTAGCAACGTGGACGTGTGGCCGCGCGTCAACAGCTTCGATGTTCAGGAATTTCTTGTTTTGAGAACCAGTTTTATTATGCGAAAGTCGCTGAAGTCTAGAAAGGCCTTCGGTGGCCACAATTTTGTGACTGGTATACGTGAGAGCCGTAGGTAAAGAAAGTCGCCGCCGACACCGTGATCGTCGTCACTCAAGTACGACGTGTTAAACTGAGGAGCGCTTTTATCGTGCACGTATACGCCGTACGCCACGAAGAATAACAGCGCAGTAATAGGCGAGCAGATTTCGCCATTCCCGGCCATGCGTGCGCAGTGCGCGGCGAGGACCTCGCCATCACTTTTTCCCATGCACAAGATGTCGACGGGGGGCTTGTTAACGCACTCGGAGTGGTTAACCTAGGATAGAAACAAACATCTACGGCAAAAATAATAATTTGCGCGTCTTACATGAGTAACGCCGATCACAGTGTTGGCGGTGACTTTCTTTACCCAAGGCTCCCACACGCAGCCACTCGTCACGAAGTTATGGCCCTCGAAGGCACCTTTCTCGGCTTCAGCTGCTCCCGAGTAATCAAACTCGTTCTCGTAACGCGAAATTCGTGAATATTGGAGCTGGCGATGCTCCTCCAGAACTCCACAACACTAACACGTGGGCGACGGTGTAGTCGCGCGCGCGAAGCGTGAATGGTACCACATAGCTGATTCTCGTCTCTTCTTCGTACCGCTCAAAATATTTTTGCCACAGCTTTGCGGCGTAGTCTTCCAGTAACGCTGATATCGTGCACGACAATCCTTAGAATTAAATTTGCGTCATGCCCTCACTCGATCACACCTGCAAGCTACGCCAAAGCTCGCAAGCACGACTGCACTGCTGCACTCTCTGACCACCTCTGACAAAAAAATGGCTGCCTACCCAGAGTGCATAGCGTCTCCGCCGTTCATACAAGCTCCCTATACTCGCACAAACTACTAAACACCGTTATGCCGGAAGAGGAAATATTTCAATAAACTCGTAATACATCTCGCCAGCTGCTATATGTAGCTGCTGGTTATGCGATTGTCAGCTAGCCGACGAATAACATTTAGAAGGAGATGCTCTCCGGCTTCGTGACGTCATATAACAACCACGCGATTTTGTGGCACACAGAAAATTTTAAATGCCGAATAACCAGTGGCAACCAATATGCCGTATCGAAACTAGTTTATACTCTTATTTTTTTTACGTGGTCGTGCATAAGTGATTATCACGCGATGGATCGCGTCATTGTTGCCTGCAACAAGCTGATGCTGTGTGCATGACAAAGACTGTTTACACCAATATTCTCTCAAGGTTCCCCTCA